GAAACTCAAGCTCGTTGATTAAACCCCGAACACCGTTTTGGAGGTAAGATCTATGCAGCGCATCCTTGATGTGGCGTAATGGACCAACACTTTTTCGCTCGTCTAGTTTACATGCATTCAGCATGGTTCGTTCAAACCGGGCCCAATTAGCCAAAGCTGGGTCATCTTTATCTGTAAGATTCTGCCGGTAGATGCTCAAAGCGTGTGTTACAACGCCCGCGAAATCTTTTGCTGCAAGCGTTTGTCGGGTGTTCCGTTTCGAAGCGAAGGATGGGGGAGCAGATCTCTTGGAAGACTACACGTAGATCAAAATTCAGCCATTAGAAATCAAAGATAATAGACAAGTGGTGGGGTAGGGTGATGGATATGTACCGTAGCTCCCTCATTTTTCTTTTCCAGGCTTTGTAGATGGCGCTGTTTCTTGGAAGGCCTTACGGATCTCTGCAGCACCGGAGATGTCACGAATGTCCTGACGGGACGTGACACCGACTGGAAGGTGCAGAAGAGGCAATAGTTGCCTCTGCGACTCCATGACTGCATCCCACCGAGCTGTGCCGGGAGCAATGTCAAATCGAATGATTGCCGTTACTATCAAGCTGCGGAGCGGGTTCTGCGGAGATCGGAAATGTAGTTTAACTACTGGAGGCGAGAGAGAAGGAAAACGAGGGACTGATTTGGGAGATCCAAAAGGAAAAGATACAATTAACCCCTGACCAGTCAGAGACCAATCACCGCATCGTCCTGCAACCGCGCGCGAGGGAGGGAATAGTTGTTGAAAACCGAGGATACTACTAGTTATCTGGATGGCAATCATTCGCCATCGGCTTTTTCTCGCGGCCTGGGTGCCTGGGTGCCTCATTGCCTGCAGCTGGCGATCGCCGCCGACTAACCGGAACAGGAAGGGGAGGGGTCACACCGCCTAGCGGATCGGGAGATTAGACAGGAAGAATGATGCTTTTGACCCGCTGGGGAGAAAGAGCAGAAAGAGGGTCTCCTCTTGTCTCAGTCTCCAGTCTCGGGGATATCCTGAGTCCCGACTTACGTTTCAAAAAGATAGCCTGCCCGCATCGCTGGTGTCCATCACGGCTGCCCCTGAGTATTGTTCTCCATTACTTCGCCCCTCCATTGCTGGCTCTGGCTGTGCCTTATCTTCCGGTTCCCTCCCTACCGCTCCCCCGTCATTCCCCTCCCCAGCAATCGTGAAGTCTAGTGTCTATGCCCCCGTGAGGGCTGCCGGTCAGCCACAATGAGCTCCTCAATCCTCAACATCCAGCGTGATCGTGAGTATTCCATGCCTTCTACTTATAGACTATTCATATATTAATTATTTATCCTCTAGTTATTTTGAATACGATCCGTTATGCGGCGGGTAATGAGGTGCGATTGCTTCCCCTCCCCTTCTCCTTACCGTGGATTTGGCCCCCGCTTCGTTTCACCCCGCCGCAGAACTGACATTCTGTCTACAGTGGAAGGTCTTGGTGGTGGACGAGACCAGTCGCAAGCTGATCGACAATGCGGTCAGTGAGGATGATATTCTCAATCTCAATGTCACCAGTAAGTTACCCTCTGTGTATTCCTCGTCGTCCCGGTGCGGCGCTAATGGCCTCCCGCAAGATGTTGAGCAGATCGAGCATCGGCGCTCCCCCAATCCGACGATGGATGCGCTGTATATCCTCTCGCCCCTCCCACACATTGTCGACTGTATTATGGCGGACTTTGAGAGGAAGAGATACCGGAAAGCGTGGTTGGTTTGGACATCATGTCGGGCACCTGCTTCTTTAACGGCCGCTTGGTGCTGACGTCGCTCGCAGTTCTCGATCCGCAACAGCGCGCTAGATTGGACCGTTCACAAATTGCTCGCGACCAGATCGCCAATGTTCAAATCATGAATGCCGACTATTTCCCCAGGGAATCGCGCCTGATTACCTTCCGAGACCCGTGGAGCTTTCCGGTGTTGTTCCACCCTGGTTGTAATCACTTGATCCGCGCACACTTGGAGGGTTTGGCGCAGAAGGTGAGCTAGGCCACCTGTGTATATTGAGCTGGTTTTGACTGGACAGGTTGTGTCGCTCTGTGCGAGCTTAGGAGAGTACCCAGTGATCCGGTACTACCGCCCCCGGGCCCCGACACACGAGGCCAGCGTACTGTGTTCACACCTCGCGCGGTTCATTCAAAACGAGCTGGATCAATTTGCGCAATTCCAGCGCGACTTTCCGCCCCCGTCTCCCAGACCGCGCGGAGTGCTGTTGATCGTGGATCGGTCCATGGACCTGGTCGCGCCCTTGCTCCATGAGTTTACATATCAGTCCATGGTGCACGATCTGCTTCCGATCAGCGATGGCGACAAGGTTACTTACAAGACTGTCATCAATGAGGGAAGCCACAACGAGGAAGTCAAGGATATGGAGATCAACGAAGAAGACAGTGTTTGGGTGGAGTATCGCCACATGCATATGAAGGACGTGCTCGGCAAGCTAGGTGAAGACTTTGCCAAGTTCCGAGCTGCCAACCCTCAGTTTGCGGAAGAGTGAGTGACAGCTGTTGATGGTCTTTCTTTCCTTACTAACGGCGCTGCAGCAATGATAAAGCGAACGTGAACACTATCAAGGACATGCTGGCGGGTCTGACAGAGTTCCAAAAGGGAAGAGATGCTTATACACTGCACCTTAACATGGCGCAGGAGTGTATGAGTTACTTCCAGAAACACAAGCTCATCGAAGTAAGCTCGGTTGAACAATGCTTCGCTACTGGCATGGACGAGAACTACAAGAAGGCAAAGAACCTGGCTTCCCAGCTGGTGCAATTGCTAGACGACGATGCGATCAAGCAGCCAGAGCGACTGAGGTTGCTGCTGCTTTACATTATCTACCGGGGAGGCATCCTCGCGGGTGATATCCGGAAGCTCTTGGCACACGCGCAACTTGCACCGCAGGACGGTGAAATCGTAGCCAACCTCGATCTACTTGGAGCCCGTGTGGAGAAGCCTCTGAAGGACGATAAGCCACCCGTGCAGCCGCTGTTCACCAGGAAGCCGCCGTCTGGGCCCATCGACGAAGAGGAAAGTCTCTCGCGCTACGACCTGAACCTCAAGTTGATCTTGGAGGAGCTGGTGCGCGGCACGCTGGACCCCGGCGTCTTCCCGTTCACGCGGCCGCACACGGATGCCGACTCGCCGGGACAACAAGAGAGTCTGTCCCAGGCGTCGCTGCGCAGTGCCAAACCGACGTGGGCACGGACACGGTCTACTGGCGAGCAGCCGAAACAGCGGATCATCGTGTTCATGGCAGGTGGTGCTACATATGGAGAGGCACGCACATGCTACGAGATCTCGCAGTCGTGCGGCAAGGACGTGTTCCTGGCCACATCGCACATGCTGTCTCCCGGATTGTTCCTGCGCCAGGTGGGCGATCTCAGTGTAGACCGACGCCGGCTCGACATTCCCGCCGAACGGCCCAAGCCCACAGCGCCGGCGCATCTCTTCGAGCGGGAAGCTCCACCGCCACCGGCACAGCCCGTGAAGAAGCCGGTCCCAGTGAATCTGAACCCGATGGCACCGACATCCGCGCTGGCGACGATGTCACTGGGACCGAACGGCAGAGCAACGAACGGAGCAGCGCCGCCAGAGAAAGAGAAGGATAAGAAGGAGAAGAAAGAGAAGAAGGAAAAGAAGCACCGCTTCTTCCGGTAGCCTTGGCCATTCTTTCAACTGAACCAGCCTCGTTCCGCAGCACACCTCCTGCGGACATTAATACTAGCCTCTAGTATCTTCTGTGTATGTAGTGACTATGTATGTACCATGCAGACCAGCAGAACCCTAATACTTATTCAAACTCCTGGGTATATACCAAACAACCAACGCCTTCCATCCCGAAACCAATGATAAAGAGGAAAAAAAAAAAAAAAAAAAAAAAAAAAAAAAAAAAAAAACCAACTTACTTCCCATGAAGATACCTCAACACATCCTCATCCTGGAAAAACAACTCTCGTAACCTCTCCCCCTTCTTCCTCTCCTCCAACTGTCCCTTCCTCGCCTCCTTCGCATTCAACACCTTCTTCTTCTGCACCCTCCCCCTCCCACCTTTATCTCCACTCTTATCCTTAACCTCAGGAACAACAGCCCCCAACCCCACCGTATCCTCCTTCACCTTTCCCTTCACCGGCTCCCGTATTCCCTCTCTTCCTTGGGGTCCCAATCCCACCCGCGAATCCGGATCCCAGCCGTAGGCAGCGAGATACCGCAGTCCGGGACGTGTGCGATCAAGATGAGACGGCGGATGCGAATGCGGGAGACTCAGTTGATGCGGGAGTGTAGCTTCATGTATATGTCTCCTCCTTTCTCCTCCTCCTTCTATCCCTCCTTCTGAAGCGTCGTGTATAGGTGTAGTATACGGGAGATTGCACACGGGACAAATCTCAACATCTTCTCCTCCTTCTTCCTTCTGCTCACTATGTGATCGTGAACCCGAACTCGGTTCTGATTCCGGGATAGGTCGTGATTCTGTAGGAGGAGTAGTGGGATTCGACTTCGACTTCGACAGAACAATCGAGAGGTATTTATTCGCTATACTCTGCCCGGTCGAAGTAGAAGGTGTTGCTGGCTCAGAGGATGATACTCGCGTGGTAGAGAGGTGTTGTTCGGAGGAGCGCACGAACGGGACGCGCTTGCGACGGATCCCTGCGCCGAAGACTCGTTGGTCTTGCAGGGGGAGGAAGTATTCGTCTTCATCTTCTTCATATGGTATTTCTCTGTTTGGTGGCATTGTCCATACCCTTTTTCTTTTTCTTTGTAGGATGGATAGTGAAATTGTGAAGTGAGGAAGGATAATGGCAGGCAGCTCGAAGTGGCGGGAGATCGGCCGCTAAGATATGTACCGTAAGTACCTCCGACGGAGTTGTCTGGACTTTAACTCCGTCAGACATATCTGTCTCCTCCTCCGTCTGTCTTCCCTCCCCTCCCTTTCACTACAACCACAACCAACAATAGTTGTTGTTCCGGCAAAATGCCCATCCCCATCATCACAACAGCAATAACAGAAGGCACAAACTCCATTCCGCACCTATGGAGCATATTAAAACTCCTCCCCTGGGCGGTGCTCCTCGCGGCCCTGAAATATTATTTCGGGGGTGCTAGAAATACCTCTGAGCGGTTGATGCATTCGAAAGTCGTGATGATTACTGTATATCCCTCCCCTCCCCTCCCCTATCCCCATCCCCAATTCCCCCTCAATACTAATATAAAATCCCCTGGGGGAAAAAAACAGGGCGGCACATCCGGCATCGGCGCGCAAGTAACCTCCGCGCTCGCCTCACGCGGCGCCCAAATCATCCTCCTAACGCAACATCCACCAACCGACATCTTCCTCTCCGAATACATCGAGGACCTCCGACGGAGCACCAACAACCAACTAATCTACGCGGAGCAAGTCGATCTCTCCTCCTTACACTCCATCCGCACCTTCGCCACGAAATGGATCGATAATGTGCCGCCGCGACGCCTGGACATGGTGATTCTCTGCGGGAATGCAGCGCCGCCCGTATCCCAGAAACGGAAGCTGACCGTGGACGGCATCGACGAGGAGTGGATGGTGAATTACCTGGCGAATTTCCATCTGTTGAGTATACTTTCGCCGGCGTTGAGGGCGCAGCCGGCGCATCGGGATGTTAGGGTCGTGTTTACCACGTGTTCGAGTTATATTGGCGCGAAGTGGGATTTGAGGAAGGTGGAGGAGGCTGCTGCGGTTACTGCTGCTGCTGCTGCTGCTGCGCAGCAGCAGGGGGAGAGGGATAGTGGGGGTAATGGGGATGGGAGGAGGGTAGTGATGAAGAACGGGAGGTTACAACGGGAAAAGGCTAAGCCGAAGACTAAAAAGGCTACGAAAGGAGTCAGTTTGTACGGACTCAGCAAGCTCTCGTTGATGGTGTTTGCGCAATCGTTCCAGAAACATCTCAATGCGTTCAAGAGGCCGGATAACCAGCCGTGCAGTGCGCGGGTGATTATGGTGGATCCGGGGTTTAGTCGGACGCCTGGGATGAGGAGGTGGATGACGGGGGGATCGTTGTGGGGACTGTTGGTGTATCTGGTGACGTGGCCGGTGTGGTGGTTGGTGTTGAAGTCGCCGCAGCAGGGGGCGCAGAGTGTGTTGTATGCGGCGATGGAGGCGGAGTATGGACGTGGGGAAGGGGGGTGGATGATTAAGGAGTGTAAGGAGGTGGATTTGGCGAGGAAGGAGATCAAGGATGAGGAGGCGGGGAAGATGTTGTGGGAGTTTAGTGAGAAGTTGATTGAGGTTAAGGAGAGGGAGTCGGCGGTGCGGAGGGCGTTGGCGAATAAGGAGAAGGAGGTGGCAGAGCAGATGGAGAAGAATAAGGCGTCTGGATCTGGGACGAAGGAACAGACGCCGGGGTCGAGGAGGAGTCGGAAGGGGAAATAGGTGTATATCATTAGTATCTATCTGTATACTAGGTTCTGGTGTTTGGGTGTACATTATCACATTGTCTGTATTGATAGAGTTACGTGATCCAGGTCTATCCTATCGCTGCATATTGCATGGCGAAATCACAGTTACATCAACATCACATCAAGCTCTGCTCTCTAGATACAACAAGGAAAAAGGAAATTCGTCATCCAATTAGCAAGTCCAATCGTGTCTCTATCCGATTTTCCTGGCAAGAAAAAGAAGAAATTCTAAGCATATGCGGGGTCATTATTTATTTCTGCAGCTTCTCCAGCAGCTCAGCCGGGGGCTGTTGGCGGTAACCCTGGGGGTTGTTGCGGGTCCACAGCCAGAGGTCCTCGCAGGCCTGCTCGAGGGTGCGCTCGGCCTTCCAGCCCAGCTCGTTGTTGGCGCGCGTGGGGTTGGAGGTCAGGTTGAGCACGTCACCGGCACGGCGGGGAGCAACCTCGTAGGGGAGGTCACGGCCCACGGCCGCCGAGAAGGCACGGATCATCTCGTAGACAGTGCTGCCCTTGCCGGTACCCAAGTTCCAGGCACGGACTCCGGGGTTGTTGGCGCGGAGGTAGTTCAGGGCCTTCAAGTGACCATCAGCCAGGTCGAGGATGTGGATGTAGTCGCGGATGGCGGTACCGTCGTGGGAGGCGTAGTCTGATGAGTTATGTTAGAACCCTTATTTCCAATTCCACTATTGAAGGTAACGTACCATCTCCGAACACGAGGAGCTTCTCGCGCTTGCCAGTGGCCACCTGGGCAAGAAGGGGAAGCAGGTTGTAGGGGACACCCTGGGGGTCCTCACCCATGATACCAGAGGGGTGAGCACCGGCGGGGTTGAAGTAGCGGAGCAGAGCACCGTTCCACTTCTGGGCCTCGGCCTCGTTACCGGCCTTGATGGCGTTGTTGCGCTGAGCGTTGATGACATCGGTGATGGCAGTCTCGACGGCGAACTTGGTGTTACCGTAGGGGTTGGTGGGACCCAGAGGGCACTCCTCGGGGATGGGGATCATGTTGGGGAAGCGAGTGGCATCACCGTAGACGGTGGCGGAAGAGGAGAAGACGATGTTGGTGACATTGTGGCGGACCATGGAGCGCAGGAGGCAGATGGTGCCGTAGACGTTGACGTGGTAGTAGTCCAGAGGCTTCTCACCGGACTCACCGACGGCCTAGATACATGTCAGCTAGAACCTCAATTGATGCGCGAGAGATATGCAGAGAGATAGATCGACATATAGAGGCAGGGAAAGGTATAGAAAGTAGGAAAAAGCGCACCTTCAGAGCAGCAAAGTGGATGACGCTGTCAATGTCGGGATGGGCCTCAAAGACACGGTCGAAGCCAGCCTCGTCGGTGACATCGAGCTGAGCGAACTCGGCCTTCTTGCCGCTGATCAACTCAATGCGCTTGAGAGCCTCAGCGGAGGAGTTGTAGAGGTTGTCAGCGACGACGACCTTGTAGCCAGCCTCGAGGAGAGCGAGGGTGGTGAAAGAGCCAATGTAGCCCGTTCCACTGTTTGGGGGGAAAATTGCGGGGTCAGCGGGTGGGATGGAGGGACAAAGGCATTAATGGGAAGCTTACCCGGTGACAAGAACTGATCCAGCAGGCATGATGATGGTGTATGATTAGGATGAAGGATGAGAGGGAAAGATAGAGTGGGAGGTAGAGAGGAAGAGAGAGAGAGAGAGAGAGAAGATGAAGAGGGAAATAGAAAGAAGATGAAACGGAAAGGTAAGATGGCGCAAACGGAGATTTGGGGGGGGGGGAAGAAAGTCGGGCGGCGGGGACGGGATATTTAAGGGGCGGCCGCAATTGGTGCTTCCAATGGAGTCACAAGTAAGTAGTAGTACTCCGTAATATTCAGGTACAGGTAAGTGAGTGAGTAAGTTACTCTTCTTGCCTAATTGCCTCTTCTACTGCCTTTTCTGTCTGTCTGTCTGCCTTCCTCACTCTTCTTCTCTAACAAACCCCCTTTTGCCATATTCTCATATTACCATAATCCCACCTGCTGATCAACCAAGACAGTCTACGTAAACGGCCCTCGACCACGGGACGATCCATATTAATTCTCCCCCCCGCCATTATTATCCCACATCCCACCACCACCACCACATCACACCATCCAGTTACTGATTCAAAATACTTTGTGTTTTGTATATGTATCAGTATCACAGCTGCAGATGCATGCATATATGCAACAATGCTGCATAACAATCGGAGTAAAGTTCAGGCCAAACAAAAAGAAAAAAAAGTACTGACTTGCGGAGTTTTTCTATCTACCCCTCCAGACCAGATCCAGCTATGTGCATAGTACTGCATATCCATAATAAATAATAATATCTTGTTTGATCATCATCTTTCTTCATTTACAGTATTCCTTCCAATCGGCTAATTAAGTATCATACAAAGTAGATAGTAGATGAATAGATAGACAAAGAAACTGAAACATACACACGGCCCGAGACAAGTCCGTCCGTCACGGCTAATTGACTTGATTGCACCACCTCCAGATACTATCTAGTATCTACATATTCCCTGTTTCTTGCAAAGTACCATACTAATACAACAATACAACAATAGTATTATTATGATGGCACCATGCCTATTATTATTCTCTTATTCTTTCATTTTCCCTTTTAACCAGCACCAGTTCCAGCACCAGCAACCAGCCAGGTCCAGGAACCAGACTCGGCAGTGGATCCAGTCCCAACTGAAGGTCCCAGTTCCCACATCACACCTGGTCCTCACTAACTACGTACTTACAAAGTACTAGTGGACCGCTTCCACCCGATCCCAAGGGTCCAATCAATCATCGGTGGGCTGTCACGCTGCCATTTGCCTCTTTCTCTTCCTACCTTGTAATAAATTCCATGTTTTGTTAAGGGGCGAAATTATGTTATGACATTAAGGAAACGATCTGCGAGTGTCAGATTGCTATACCTAATACATACCTACCTATCTACTTGAGTCTGTTGCTGATGACGATTGGCGATGATGACGATGATCAGGGTAAATGAGGGAGGAGCCATGTGCTAATGAGATATGTCTGGATATTTTCAGGGGTAGATGCAATGCAGTGTTAGTAGTATATTTTCTCCAGTTACTTATGAAGTAGATGATTAATGCTCATCCCGAACAGGTGGTCTTTGTTGGTCTGGTCTGGTCTGGTCTGGTCCGAGTCCCCACTGGTTTGGTTTGTTGGTTGGTTAATTGCTTGCTAATAGTTTTCCAGGTAGGATACGTAGTATATCCCTGTGTAGTATGGAGTATCTTAAATTATAGTATACAGTTAATTAGTTAAAGTATTTGCACAACGTAGTCTACCGAATGTGTCTGAATGGATCCCTCACCCCAAAGAGCAAACTAGTGGAGGTTGGAATGAAGTATTGGCCTGATGAACCATAAATCGCAGGTGACAACTATCCGCATGCGGTTGTGTGGGGTAGTGGTTATCCCTTCGGATTTTGAGTACTTCTTGTGCTTCGGAAGTTCCGACAACCCCGGTTCGAACCCGGGCACGACCTGATTAATTTATTGCTTCATATTCATTTTTTTGTCTACGTTGTTTGCATCATAACATGCATGACTTGGAAGGTGAGGATGGTGCTGTTGCTCTGTTACTGTAGATGTAAGATATTTACTAGAGCAGTGTTTAATTGAGGTGATGTCCTGACATCAAGATGCTAGGATGATGTACTACATATACAACTATTGCAGTAAATTCACTTGTCTGTCAATTGGCATTTATCCTGATTTTGATCATATTTAATTCATTCTTTGCTACTCCACCATATCAGTCACCTTCGCATACACCCGCACCAACCCCTTCTCCGTACCAGGAACAATCCTATCGCGTGTGATGCGTATACTCTCCGTGCCGGTGCTCTCCACATCAAAGTTGAACCGACGCATTACATGCGCAATGGTCAGGTAGAGCTCAATATATGCCAGACTATTGGACTCGTTAGTAGCAGATACTGCAACAGCGGCAGGGGCAGACTGACTTCATCCCAATGCAAGCTCGACTCCCCCTCATAAACGATACAATATATCGTGTTAGATTAACCCCTTCCTCGGCAGCCTTGATCCAGCGCTCCGGATCGAATCTGTCCGGCTCAGGAAAGAGGGAGGGGTCACGATGGACAAACCAGGTTGAAGTGCTCATTGGTGTCTATCAAGTATTGTTAGCTTGTGATGGGTGTTGAAGGCAGAGTGACAGAAAACATACCCCCGGTGGAAGCACATAGTCCTTGTACTTTAGTGTTTCAGTTGGTGCCACGCGGGGCAGCCGCATAATCAGCCCATAGGATAATCGCAGAGACTCATTTACAACGGCCGTCTAGGCGTGAAAGTAAGTTAGGATGAAGAATCAGCATTGCAGAATCACGACATACCAAATATGGCAGCTTCTCCAGCTCCGGCCAGGTCGCGGTACTGGTGGGTGTGGGCAGGACCTGCTTCAGTTCACTCCGCAGCTTGTCTCGTATGCTTTTATCTTGCGACACGTAGTAGGTCATAATCATCAAGGTACTCGCGGTCGTTTCCGTGCCTGCACCAAGGAGCGTGAATACCTCGTCCTCAATGCGACGCTGGCTTCTTTCCGCGACTGGTAAGCTGGGGTCCGTCAACCTTTTGAAGATGGTCCGGTCGTCCTTCCCCGGTGCCTTGGAGCCATCCTGCGTGTTTTCGGATATCGTGCTCAGAATGGAACCCTGGAACTGGAGCATACCGGCCTTGCCGGGAAGACATAGGGCCATCAGATGCAGCGGAATCTTGCGCATGGTTTCTGGCACAAAAGGAAAGAAGCGGTTGAAGTGGGCCAGTCCAGTATTCTCTTCGTTACCTCCGTGGACGTCGCTGCGAAAGTCCTTGTCCTCGATGAATCCCCAGCGCTTTCCATAGCAGTAATAGGTGATTACATCTGAAGTCAGCGCGGCAAATGCATCGCTCAGATTGACTACACTCTGATCGCGATAGAACCCCTCGAAGCGCCCCATCAGCTTCCCCACCCGCTCCTCGATGAAGGGAGATATGGCAAGGACAGACCGCTTGGAAAAGAAATCATTGAGGATATTGCGTCGGAAGCGGTGATGCTCGTGGCCGATCGTACCAATCATGGAGTAGGGGAGTGCGAATGCGCCGTAGGCCAGAGGGTCCCTTTCGCGTTTGCGAGTGCTGGAGGCATAGATCTCATCATAGAAGGAGGGGTCGCTGATATGGACTTCACGGGGGTTGATGCGAACAATTGGACCTGAGTGAGAAGTTAGCCAAGCTTCAGCTGGATGAATTTCTCTGTACCTACCATATTGCTGATGCATTTTCTCGATCTGAAACAGAAACCTTCCATGGCAGATAACATCATAGTAGAACTCGTATAGATGCGTAACTGCTGTGAGCTTTGGCCCAGGGATTCTAGATAAGGGATGGAAATAGAGGCGATAGATAGATCGCAGGACGTAAAAGCTTGCGATACCGACAAGGGCGAGCCAGATGTGGGAGATATCCAGAGCCATCATGGCGGTTGTATGGAATGCCAGCGCAGTTATCTGAAGCTGTGAAACAAAAGATCTGACATGGGCAGTGATGGTGTAGCGACAATATAAATACTATATGAACCGACGACATATACCCACCCACCCTGCTGCATCTGCTCGTAGCGCTGTCGGCCTTGCAGATGGCCAAGGAGGGGAACGGGATGAGAAACAACTGGCTCACCAACCACCGATCATGATAGCTGCTGGTCTGGGGCTGAGAGGTGCCACAAATAACATGGAAATATAGCTAGCTTGGAGTCTAGAGCAAGACGATGCATTCGCTAAGAAGAAACCCCGCCTATGAATGCGGGAGAGATATATTGGAGGTGAGATTGACACGTCCAGCCTCCGCATTTGGTCTTCCTGGGGGTGATGTGTAGTAGTAGCAGCAATACATTCCATCGGTGTGATGTAACCGTGAACCGCAGCGACACTTGCAATTAATCATGATCCCCTGTAATTTCTCTCCATGCTGAACTGGGGTGGGAGATAGAATATGTCCGGGCCTATAAGGAGCTGTTAGTTACTCGTTACCCAATAACCCCAACTAGGGCGCGGGGTCGCAGCGCTAATGCTGCAGCTTTAGCACGTCAGCTATCTGTCTCTTTCAATAGGCTAATGGAGCTACCCATGCAGGCGCTATCACCGTCTGAAGCTACATACCAACTAGTTGGCCGGCTGAAAATACGGGCATGTCTCTTGTCCCAGTAAGTGATCACGCTTCTGATCTGTCTGCGTATCAGTCAAAGCCGAGCTGTACACTTCGGGCATCTCGGTGGGTATTGCGCTACAACCTGTCAGATACTCACTACAGCCGTTGATTTGAAGTGTAAGTGACACCACCAAAGTTTGAAAGACGCTTGATTGATGTTTGGTGATATAAATATAGTTCAATGATATCATGACACCCCGATAGGGGCGGGACAACTGAAAGTACCAGCGATTTGCTAGTACACATGCTTCAGAAACACTTGGCTAGGAACCTTAATGGAATGGGGAATGACCTTGTTTAGAAGCGAACCATGAACTCCCGCCCGAGAAACAATCAAGAAACAAACTCATTTCTGTCGCATCCGAAATTGCAATACAGGACCCTCCTTTCCAACCGCGAAATGGTCCTTGATCTTGTATTCTCCTTGGTAGCCGACACCCAACTGCTCTGTCCCCGGTGCCAGGCGTATATCGTACAACCACAATGCCCGGGAAAT